TCCCCCGCTTTTTGGGACGGTGTTTTTGTCATGTTTCCCCGTTCGATGGGGTTCTGCGTGACTTTTGATCTCGGGTGCGCCTGCGCCTTCGTGTGCCTTCGGGACTAGTGTTGGCTTCTGTGTTCTCGAGGGTACGGGAAGGTTTTTCGCTACTTCCCGCATTATTGGAACGTCTGTCGGCTCCTAGTACTTGTCGCCCTGTTGGGCTACTTGTCGCCCTGTTGGGCTACTTGTCGCCCTGTTGGGCTACTTGTCGCCCTGTTGGGCTACTTGTCGCCCGGTTGGGCTACTTGTCGCCCGGTTGGGCTACTTGTCGGCCGTTTGGGCTACTTGTCGCCCGTTTGGGCTACTTGTCGCCCGTTTGGGTTCCCTTTTTTTGGGCTCTTTGCTTCTTTGGCCGGTTTTCTTGTTCCTGCTTCCTCTTTTGGCTCTTTTTCTCGTGCAATAGTCCTGGCTGGCGCCTTCCCGCAGGGAGGGTGTGCGGTTCGGCCAGCGTGTTATGCGCATGCGCCGTGGAGTTTGTTTTGGTCTGGGCGATGGTTCAGTGCTGGGGTTTTGCGCCCTTTTTTGCTACAGTGCTTCGCCTCTCGTTCTTCTCCCTGGCTGCGGTATGTGCCCCTTTGCGCCAGGGGTGTCCTGGTTCCCAGTTGTGGGGAGGACACCGCGGTTTTCTGTGTCATGGGTGTGGACCGCCTCCTTCGCCTCTCCCTGTTCTCCTGCGGGTCCGGCTCTGGCGTCTTCACCTGGCGGTGCTCCCAAGTTCTTCTGGGCACGGTTGAGTCGTGTCAAGTTCGAGCCACCATTCGCCAGGTGAGTTTCTGCGGTCTGGCGTCTTTTGGCCGGGCGCTGGATGCGGCGGTGTTCATATACCTGTCTTTATTTAGGTATAATTTTGTACGACTGAGACCGTTCGCACACCAGTGACTGTCCCTTTATCACCCCTTCCTGTCCCCCTCCTGTGCATGTCCAACCCATGCTACAGTCGTTCAGGGGACCCTCCTTTTTTAATGTTGTGAGGTGTGGGGGTTGTAGGGTTGGTTCTGTACTCACCTGGTGAGGCTCCTGGCTGTGCTTGCAGGATTTGAGCTCTGGCTCTTGGGTCCCGCCTATCTGGTAGAACTTGCGGGATAGTACCAGTGGAGTGCAGTGGTGCTATTGGCACTTTTGGGGAACACTGTATTACCATCAGTGGTCTGTGCTTGTTACACGACCTACTTGCGAGCATAAGCCTTCTTGCTGGTTCGTCCGTGGACTTCCAGGGCGCACTGGCCTGTTTTCGTATGGCAGTTCCGGCCCGTCCTGGTTGTGGGGGTATGTGGGCCGGTGGACTGCTCCTAGCAGCTGCCTGGTGGGCCATCCTCTGGCCGGTCTGGCCTGACCTTGGGCCGGGCTTGAGGTGTAAAAGAGCTCCCAGTACCTCATCCAGCAGGTATCGAGCGGGGTTTCTCCGCCGTCGGTCGCCTGGTGCAGGTTTCTGGGCCTGCAGGGTTTTGTCGTGTCTCCGTTGGCCCTGTCTGGGGTCTGCCTGCTCCGTTCTCTGCCTTTGCAGAGGGGAGTTGCTATTTACATGTTGCATGTTGCAGTGGTGCCTGTTGCTGCTGCTGCTGCACGTGAGCATTGGTACCGTGTTTCACGGTGGCGTGTCCTTGTTCCTGTGTCCGGTTGTGGAGTGGCGCTTTGCTGCCGTTTTGTGCCTGGGGATTGCGTGGGGTTTTTGTCCCTGCCTGATTGTCCACCCCTGGTTGTTCTCCTGGTTTTTTTTTTTTTTTGTGCTTCTGCTCTTTCTTCCTGCCTCTTCTGCAGCAGGAATGTTCTGCGTGTGTTCTTAGGCGTTGGTCAGCCTGTGTCCTGTGATGTGCTTCTTTGTTTCGGTCTGTTGCAGTTGTTCGGGCCCCTTGGTTCGGGTCCTGTTCTGGCGGCGACCCTTCCGCCTTCTTTGGTTTTCCTAGCTTGCCCTGCCGGTTGTTGTTGTTGTTTTATTTTTTTTGGGGGGGTTCTTGCGATGTCTCGCGTCGGACCCGTCGTTTCTGAACTCCTGGCGGGCTTGCATGCTTCGGAGTTTTTCTGTTCGGCAGACGTTCCATCTCCTTGTGCCGCCTGGGTTTCGGTGGTCGCGCCCGAGATCTTCTCGCGGCTCCGCCTTTTTCCTGGGCTCGGGGGGGCCTTGTCGGGGCTGCTTATGTTCTGCCTCGTGGTCTCGCCTCCGGTTGGTGGTCGGGTGGCTTCGTGGTAGGTGTCCCACCTGCGTGCTTCTTGGCGGCAGTATGGGGTATTTTGGCGGTCCTTCCTTTTCCTGTCCCTTCTTCGGTGGGTCCTTCTTGTTGGCTTGGTTTACTCTCGGCTTGGTTTTCTAGTGGGGGTTGGGGGCCGTCGTCTTGCCACATACTGTCGCCTCTTTTCGTGCGGCGCAGGCGGAGCCGCTTCAGCTTGCTTTCGGTCTTGGTGTTGCTTCTGCACCGTTAGTCAGCTGTCTTGTGCGTCATTTCACCTCCGGCCTGTTCGTGCGCCGCTTGCACCATCCTGGTCTCTGGTCAGCGTGCTCTGTCTTCTCCTCGGTTGGTAGTGCCCCTTCGGTTCCGGTGTGTTTTTTCGTCGGCTCTTTCCTTTGGGCCTTTGCCTCTGGGGGTCGGTTCGCTGTGTTTTCTTGCTCCTTCGGTTTTAGCGTTTTGGTTGTTTGATGGCAGCAGTCTCCATCTTTTCTGGCGCGGGGTGGGGCTGCTGCATTCTGGAGGGGTCCAGGGTTTGTTGGTGCTTTGTTGGTCGGGCCGGGGGTGTGTCGTTTTTGTGTTCAGTGGCGGCCCTCTGCTGTTGTTTGCGTGCCACGGCGTTTGGGTCCGGAGCGCGTTTTGCGTTGATCCGGTTCTGTTCTTCCCGGTTCGCGGGTGATGGTGTCCCGGGTGGTCAGCCGTGTTCTTGTGGCTAAGCTGCCTGTGTTCTTCCCTCATGCCTGTGGCGTTCGTGGCTTCGCTGCTCTCGCTGCCGTCTGGGCGACGTGGCCTTGCAGTCTTTCGGGCATGGATTTTTGGTGTTCGTGCAGGGGCCTTGCTGCTCGTGGTTCTCGTGTTGTTCCCGGGATTTTCGGGGCTGTGGCGCCTTGGGTTGGCGTTTGCTGCCGGTTGTCTCGCCTCCTTGGGGGGTGCGTGGTGTCCGCCTCCCGGTTTTGTCCCTTTGACCTTCCTCTGTGGGTAGTTAGCTCCGGGGAGCCGACGGGGCTCCCCCCAGAAAACCAGCGTTGAATGTAATGAAACGCCATTTTCTGGGTGAGACCCGGAGGCTCCCCGGCAACCCTCCCTCCCTCCGGTCGGCGTTTTTCGCGTGTTTTGACATCCAGCCTCAGAACTGATGGGTGGATAGCCGGCGTGGGAGGTCTGGGGCTCCCCCTTCCCCCTCCCGGGGAGGGGGGAGCTGCGCAGACAGCGGCGCGGTGACGTATGACGTCATACTAGTTTCCGTGTTTTCTGTTGAAGAGTTCTATTCACTAGTTCGGCTTAGGTAGCAATTTTCACCAGAATAGGGGTTTGTTTTGGAATGCTTACCTTTCTGGATGCTTGACCCGGTCGATGGCAGACATAGAATGCTTCCAACCACACGGGGGTTTCTATAGGCCATTGCTCCCCTTGCCTCTCTGAGGGGGCCAGGTTCTGGCTCGTGGTCCCCGGTAGGCCCTAGAACTCCATACACATGACTGATGCCAAAGTCTGACATTAGCATATCAGCCGGTAAAGCTCCGGGGAGCCTCCGGGTCTCACCCAGAAAATGGCGTTTCATTACATTCAACGCTGGTTTTTTTGTTTGAATCTCTTCATTCACTGTCCGACTTTTTGCATGACCATCTTCAGTAATTTGATGTGCCTATTGTAGCAGGTATATTTACTATTTACTATTTGTATCTGCAGAATCGAGTTATTAGCTCTTGGACCCCCGCCTTTCTAACATATTTATTTTTTCTCTATTATGTCTACTACATATATTTCTCTCTCACACACACACACACATTCCCAGGAAGTAGCCTGTAGCAGCTGTCTAACTCGAAGGTACCTATTACTGCTAGGTGAACAGGGACATCAGAGCGAAAGAAACTGCCCATTTGCTTCAGCCTCTGCCGGGAATCAAACCCGGGCCCATAGGACTATGACCCCAGAGTGCTGTCCACTAAGCTGTGAGGCCACTAAGGTAGGTTCCTGGTTGGTGTCCCCAGACCTATGAGAGACTTATTGGCATTTACCTATTCTTCCTTGGTTCTGGGACTGGTTAGGTTTTGTAGTGAGGCATCAAGCTTACTGCTTTCAGGTACTCCTCATTTGTCTTGAATCTAGCCCTCCAGATATTTGCAAGTTTCACACATGTGGTGATCTGTCCCCTTCATTTGTTATGAGTTTGTGTCGTAGCATACCTTTCCAACTAGCTGGGATGGGCTTCTAGTCAATCCACGTTTCTGTCTTCAGTGATCTGGCTCTTTCCTATCTTGTTAGGTTCAGGGTTTCTGGTGAATTTATGGCAGTTGTATTTTGTTCTGTCTCAGGTTTGGACCTAGTTGACCCTGGTCAGGGATTTCCAGTTGACTTTCCTCACCCTTCTTCCAGGTTTGTGGTGGGAGGTTTTCAGATCTGGACTGAGCTGTGTTGACGTCAGGAGCCAGAGCTTATGGTGGTGGTGCCACCTGGTAGTGGCTAACTGTAACTATGGGGTTCAACTTAACTGTTGAGTAGATTGTTTGCTGCTTCATTTTTTCCTTCTGTGAACATTGAAGTTTTTTGTTTTGCTTAGCTCATTTTCTGGCATTTTCCTTTGTGAGGGTGATAGTAACAATCCCCAGCTCCCTGTGCCTCCCAGCTGTGTAGGTCAGATTCTGGCTCTGGTTCCCAGTTGGCAATATGGTTTCTTAGGGCTGATATAACTTGAAAGTGGAGCTTCCTCGGTGATCTAGTTTCACGGAGACACCGAGGCCCAACCAGAAAGAAGCATTTCATTAGACTAAATTCTGTGAATTTTCATTACAGCGAAGACACCTGTCGATCTCTTCAAATGGACTCAGAAAGGTTGGCAGCCCATTCCTAGAAAAGACCCTGTGGTTTTATGGAAGTGGGGGCTCCTGAGACACAAGAAGCAGACTTGGGCTCAACCTCTTATCAGAATTGATTATGTACATCTAAAAATTAATGCAGATCTTATGCTTATACATTATGTACCTACAAAGGATAATGAACTGATGCTTGAAATTAGAAGTGCTGTTACATCAGTAAGTATACCTTCAATTTAAATTACAGTACTGTACAACATTAATGAATTGTTCGAAATGCAATTTTGTTATTTCTTTAGCAGGCAAATTTGTTAAATCAAAATCTTTTAAATTTTATTTTTTAGATACAGCTTTATGTTGAAACACTTAACATTAGTTGAAATTTTAAATAGGTGTAGTGGACAGTGTAGTGGACATTTTGATTTGGTGAACTTTATGGAACCAACTCTGATTTATTAGAGTGAGGGATTCATTGCATATGTAGATGCATTCTGGAGGCATTTGTGAGAAACTTTTTTTCTGGGGGGAACCCCGTCGGCTCCCCGGAGCTATCTAGGCTGAATGGATATGTATAACTTTCTGGCATCAGTCAATGCATGGAGTTCTTGCCTACCGGGGACGATGAGCCAGAACCTGGCCCCCTCTAGAGAGGCACGAGGAGCAATGGTCTATAGAGACCCCCCGTATAATTGGGAGCATTCTATGTCTGCCATCGTCCTGGATAAGCACCCAGAAAGGTAGGCGCCCAAAAACAAACCCCTATTCTGGTAAACTATTGCGACCGAAGACCGAACAGGTGGACAGAACTCCCCAAGCGAAAATTTGATAACCATCATGACGTCATCATGTCGCCGCGCCACCGTCTGCGCAACCCCCCCCCCCCCCTCCCCGGGAGGGGGAAGGGGGGAGCCCCAGACCCCACCGTCGGCGATCCAACCATTAGTTCTCAGGCTGATGGGATCTGGTGCGGTTGTGCCTCTGGCTCCTGTTTGCAGTTGCAGTTCTGTTCCTGGTGGTCTGAGCTGTCCCTTCCAGTGGTGTGTGGGCCAGGAGTATTATTCCACGGTGCTCGGGCTGCATGCGCCTAGGGTTATCTTCCCTAGGTGCCCTGTAAGTACTGCCCTTGGGGCTTAGGGCCACCTTCCCTGGGTCGGCTTGGGGTCTACCTCCGCTGTGCCGTGTACTGCTCGGTACTTGGCCGCCCTTGGGGTCAGCTGGGTTTTTTTCTTGCCCTTGTTTGTCTCTGGGTAGGGGGTAGTTTTCGTCACTGGTAGGGGCACGGGGTACTGCACAACTAGTTTTCACCATTAACAGTGACTGGCTCTGTTCCGCCCGGGTACATTGTCCTCTTGCGGGGTTTTTCTTTTGTTTTTGTTTTTGCCTGGTGGGGGGGGGGTCTGCTTGTTTGGTCCCCCATCGCTGTTCTTGGGGTTGTCTCATTCTTGTTGTGTTGGTGGTCCTCCCCGCTTGGCCCCCGTGAGTGTACACGTCCCGGGGGTTCAGCTATAGCTGTTTGTTTGGTAGTTTTGGGTGCCGGTTCGCAGTACCCTGCCTGGGCTTCCCTTAGCGAGTTACCACGGCTAAGGGCCCTGAAAAACCCCACAGGGGCTCTGTGGTCCGATGGATGTGACCCCTGAGTCCCCCCCTCGTGTCCTGCGAGTTTGAAGGTTGCTCTGTCCCCTTGTCTCAGGGGGACACTCACCGGTTTTGCCTCCGCCATGTCGGTGATTGTTTTGACCCGGAGTCGTGCGACGTGTGTTGTCTGTACGTTCTCCAGTTCACCCAGGCTACACCCGCTGGGTTGGGTGTGGCTTCGTCGGCTGTTCTGGTTCAATCGGGGCCGGCCCTTCCGCCTCTCTCGTGATCGTTGGGTTCGACCTCTGGGGGCTGTGTGTCGGTTGCTGCGTCGCCGGCTTCTTCTTCGGGTTTTTCGGGGTTCGGTGCCTTGGCGCCTTCCCAAGCCCTCGCTCGATGTGTACACGGACGCGTTGTCTCTTGGCTGGTGTTTTGTGACCAGTGCTCACCAGGCTAGCCAGGGGCGGTGGGGTCCATCATTCCGTCGGGCTCACAGCACGGAGCGGGAGTTCGCGGCGGTGTGGATGTCGCTCCGGAGGATTCGAGTCGCTTGCGGATCAATGATCAGGCTCCATTTGGACTGCTCCCCAGTGGTTCATTGTTTGAACTGCGGTGGTTCGATGCGGTCCTTGGCTCTTTGGGGCTGGTCGCTTCGGGTGACTCGTCTGCTGAGTTCTCGGGGTTTGGCTCTCCTGGCGGTTCATGTCCGGGGGGATGTCCAATTGTCCTGGCGGACGGCCTGTCCAGGTTCCATCCCCTTTCCACGAAATGGACGGTCGATGCCGACTCCTTCAGTTGGCTGTGCCGGATGTTCGGGACTCTGGACGTGGATCTCTTCGCGTCGGCGTGGTCGAGGCATCTCCCGGTTTACGTGGCGCCCTTTCCTGACAGCGAGGCCGTCGGGGTCGACGCCTTCCGACAGGACTGGGCGAGGTGGGGTTACCTCTACCTCTTTCCCCCGGTTCCGCTGTTACTCCAGGTCCTGACTCACTTGGAGACTTACCGAGGTCAAGTTGTCCTGGCTCCTTGGTGGCTGGCCCAGCCTTGGTTTCAGGCGCTGCTTGCTCGGTGTCCGAACCCGAGGGTCTTCCCGCAGCTCCGCCTCTTTCAGCAGATCGGTCCAGCCCTGGTTGGTTCCGTCTTCTCCTCGAGTCTTCACGTCTGGTGTTTTTGACTCGGGTTTATCATTCCTTGTATGGTGCGCAGGTGGCTTCTTTGTTGGTCTCCCACGTGCGTGCTTCGTCTCAGTGACAGTATGAGGTTTCCTGGCGGTCCTTCCGGTTTTTCTTATCACTGCGTCGGTGTTCTTCAGTCTTTGATAGGGTTGTGCCGTCTTTTCTCTCTTGGTTGTTTCAGGACCGTCATCTTATGCCGAATACTGTCGCTTCATATCGTGTGGCGTTGGCGGAGCCACTTTAGCTTGCTTTCAGTGTTGATGTTACTTCCGCCCCGTTTCGCAAGTTGTCTCGTGCGTTGTTTCACCTCCGGCCTGCTCATACGCCGCTTGAACTGTCTTGGTCTTTGGACCGCGTGCTCTCGTTTCTCTCTTGCCTCGATTTGTTGTGGCCCCTTCCGTTCGGGATTGCTTTTCTAAGGCTCTTTTTCCTGTTGGCATTGGCCTCGGGGGGGGGGGGGGGGGGTCGGGTTGGCGAGCTTAATGCTCTCTTCCGGCGCCGGGGTTTCTGTTCTTTCGGTCCTGGTGGTCATTTTGTTCGTTTGCAGCCGTCTCCCTCTTTTCTGGCGAAGAATGAGACGGCTGCGTTCCGGAGGGGGCCGTGGGTTGTTGATGCCTGGTTGGTGAGGCCGGGGGTGCATCATGTGTTGTGTCAGGTTGCAGCTCTCCGCCGTTATTTTCGCGCCACGGCTTCCGTTGCCGGGATGCGCTCTGGGTTGATCCGGTTTCCCTTCTACCCTGTTCCCGGGTTTGGATCTCTCAGGTTGTCCGCAGGGTTATTAAGTGTAGCCAGCCTGCGGTTTTCCCCCGGGCCCATGACATTCGTAAATTTGCTGTGTTGGCGGCTATATTTGGCAACATGTCTTGGGTGGACATTCGGGTCTGGGGTTTTTGAAAATCGAACAGGGTCCTGGCCGCACGCTACCAGGTGAATGTTCCTGGGCCTCGTCAGGCCTGCATTGCTTTGGGTCGGCGGTTGCTGCCAGTTGTCTCGCCTTTAGGTTGAGGAGTGAGGACGGCCCGCCACCCGGGTAAGTCCCTGGTTTTTCCTTCTCTTTGGGTAGTTAGCTCCAGGGAGCCGAAGGGGCTCCACCCAGAAAACCAGCGTTGAATGTAATGAAACGCCATTTTCTGGGTGAGTCCCGGAGGCTCCCTGGCATCCCCCCCTCCCCCCCCCTGGTCAGCGGTGTTTTTCGCATTTTTGACATCCAGCCTAAGAACTAATGGTTGGGTCGCCGACGGTGGGGTCTGGGGCTCCCCCCTTCCCCCCTCTCAGGAAGGGGGGGGGGTTGCTCAGACGGCGGCGCGACAACATGATGATGTCATGATGGTTATCTAATTATCGCTTGGGGAGTTCTGTCCACCTGTTCGATCTTCGGTCGCAATAGTTTACCAGAATAGGGGTTTGTTTTGGGGTGCTTATCCTGGTCAATGGCAGACAGAATGCTCCCAATTATACGGGGGGTCTCTATAGGCCATTGCTCTATAGTTCAGTTCAGCATGCGGTCTATTCCCGTGCCCACGCCATTCGTAAGTTCGCGCCTTTAGCTGCTGTTTTGGTAGTATGTCCTTGCCAAGTCGGCCGGCTAGGGGAGCCGGTCGGCCGAGCGGACAGCACGCTGGGCTTGTGATCCAGTGGTCCCGGGTTCGATCATGGGCGCCGGCGAGAAACAATGGGCAGAGTTTCTTTCACCCTATGCCCCTGTTACCTATCAGTAAAATAGGTACCTGGGTGTTAGTCAGCTGTCACGGGCTGCTTCCTGGGGGTGGAGGCCTGGTCGAGGACCGGGCCGCGGGGACACTAAAGCCCCGAAATCATCTCAAGATAACCTCAAGATATTGCCTATCTTTTGGACACGGCTTTTGGAGGTTGAACAGGGTCCTGGTTGCATGTTACCTTGTTAATGTTCCTAGTCCTTCTCGGGCGTGTATAGCCATGGGTTAGGTCCTTGGAAAACAGTCCTGAACTGAGGGGGCCACCACAAACCGAGGAGAAGGGAGAAGAGAGCACCCGGTGCAACGACCAGGACGGCTCAGGCAGTGCATGAGCAGGCTGGAGGTGAAACAATGCAGAGAAAGCTTGCGGAACGGAGCAGAAGTGACATCCGCCCCAAATGCAAGTTGCAGCGGCTCTACCAGCGCCGCCCAAAACGACAATATTTGGGCGACAGTATTTGACATAAGATGATGGTCCTGAGAGAGAAAGAGAGAGAAAGGACAAAACAACCTACGAAGAGACAAAGTGCCGAAAGGACCGCTAGGAAATTTCATACTGCCGTCGAGAAGAAACATGCAGGTGGGACACCAAATAAGCCACCTGATCACCATACAAGTGGTGATAAATCTGCCAGGAATACCCTCGGGTTCTAATATCGAGCAAGAAGCGCCTGAAACCAGGGCTGGGCCGGCCACCAAAGAGCCAACAGAACTACTCGGCCCTGGTAAGTCTCTCCAAGCGAGCCAGGACCTG